CATTCAATGACCGGGCAATTGGACAATTGAGCTCAATCATAATAACGTTCATACGCATATCGTAGCCACACAGAGACGTGTCGTTTCGCCCGTTCACCGCGACGGTATTTATTTACCGAAATATTAATCCGCAACCGGGGCGGAATATATGTCGAGCACGTCGAAAATAATCGGGGAACCGTCAACGAGAGCCCTGGCGGACGGGGTATTATGAATCTCTCTCCGTTTCGCCCGGCTCCGACATTTAGGCCGTGTCGCGGCGAAACGAGACCCCGTTTGCGTGTTGCGCGTTTACGCACGTGGCCTCCGTCGCCGAAATTCCAACGAAACTCACTACTTTCGAGCACGCACCAACTACGGAATATAGTGGAAATCACACCAGCGCGAGTACAAAGCCATGTCTGTTCGCCAGATGTGGTGCCGGTTGAAAATTTCGACTACGCCTTCCTCCTTTCGACCGGTGCAAGTATTAGAACTTTTGGCGTTCGTCGAAATCGACGTTTCCATTGTTTGGAACAATAAACGAGTGCCCACGCACATCGTTCTCGCATACCGTTCCGTGAATACATCGCGATGTTACGTAATAATTTCAAGATCAGCGAAAGAGCGGCACAATGATAATTCCAAAATATGTAGTTATACTTCTCGTTTATTTTAATGATGGAAGGTTTAGACGTAATTAAACGAAATCGGTGACCAATCTCTTTGCGTGCAGTTAAAGAAAAACGTAGTGAAGCAACTCATCTTAATAATAATTTATAATGATATATAAAATATAGATGACAACTATACAAGTTTTATATGTAGTATTAATGTATATATATATATATATATATAGATATACATTAATTCTACAAATAAAACTTGTATAATTGTCATCTATATTTTATATATAATTTAACTTTAATTTGTAGTTATTTTTTGGACCAACCGCATGTATATTTGTTAATGGAAATAGACATATTGTTATTATTAACGTTATAGTAGTAATAACCATAATTATGATAATTACAGTCACGAATACCAAAATCTCTCACTGTCTCTCGCGAAGATAAACGATCTCTGCATCTACGTACGCCATCGATAATTATAACCACGTGGAACATAATTATATCGTCGCGCTGACGCTAATTAATTACCGTGTTCCGTTGCCGGTTGCGGTTTACAATTTAGGAAACCAAGTAAGTAATCGTAGTGTCACGTTTTCCTTGAATGTCGATGGGTGCAACCAAATACCAGCGGTTACGATTTAAATAGCGACGATACGTATGCACGTGGCGTTTCCCAACGAAGTTTCCCGAGAATGCAAGCGCCGATAATTAAATCGTAGCTACGAAGTCTATAGGAGTAACGTGACTGGAAATAAACCAGGATCATAAGCATCACGTTTGAAAGCCTGACAGAGTCAACGTTTCTCGGTTTTCACAGATTTCACAAATTCCACCACGCGGCGCGAATAATTCTTCCGTATTATTAACACGGATCGTAACGTCGTCGTGCCAATTTCTCGTAACATTTCTTGAACAGAGACGTAAAAAGCTAAGTTATTTCACCCAGCCGGATTCGATATAAGTCGCTGAATGATCGGTTCTTGAATTGTAAATATTTCATCTAGATATTTCTCAAGCTGTTCCTTCTACGCGTCGTTCCTTTTTGTTCGTACTTCCGCTTTCGCTCCTTCGCTTTCACTAGCTTCCTCGTCAGACTCGCACCGCTTCTTCCTCCGCGCTATTTTTCACGTCACGTGATTCGCACTAGCCATGCTTCGTCCCCATGCTTGTTCCTTTTTCAATACGAAAATACCGCAGAACGGAATGACGTTACGGACTTCCTTTACAAATCTTTGGTTCACGACGACCGCGTACCAGACGCGTCTCGTGGCGCTCACTCGTTTAATTTGACTCACGATTTTAGAGAACGAATTCAGTGAAAGAATTTACCGCAAAATTACAAGATAATAACAAAATTTCATTACATGTAATAATTTCGGCTTTCTATTGAAATTTCCACACATCATCTTTTAAACATAACGTTTACGGGATTTCCATCGTACACAAAGCTTTCATCTCCCTTTGTAAATATTCCTAGAAAACGTCTCGAGGTCGCTTCTGTGAATTAAACGCTCTCAAAATATAACTCGACTACGGCATTAATAAGCAGCACGCATTAATCTCTGGGTCATTTATGTCATGTTATATCGTATGCAACTTAAATTCTACGATCCATATTTATATTTCACATGTATCGATGAGGTATAAAAGTAAGATAAACCTATCTTTCTCATTTACATGAAGTTCGAACACATAAAGGTGTTCAAAGGATGCTATACCGTTATTATTAAATGAATAATTATGCGGTTTTTTCAAGAAATACATATAAAAGTTATATTTCCTCACTTAGTCGAATGTACGGTTTCCTTCCTTGTGTAAATCCGACGGTCAGGATAGTGAGGATCCCGAAGATTATGCAGATCCTCGTCGCCATTTCGACTCGCTCGACACCGGACATATGCAGTTAGTGTAATCGCGGCATGGGTGACTTCCTGAAACAGAAACCGTGGAAAGTTTATTTATCTTTCCCTCTATACGCGGCGCGCCGGGATAAAATAGCTCACGGACGGAAAATATCTTTCAACGACTTCTTCGGGAGCAATGAGAGAGGTTGCAACTTCAACTTGATCGCAACCACTGTGCAGAAATGATGAGATAGGAAAGGGAAGGTTAATTATGTAACGAATGAATACAAAAGATATTCATGCAGAGGAGATTTTTATTAAACAAAAGCCTTATTGGTAGAAAATAAATATTAAATCACAGTTTATTAATAATGAGTACGTTCTGTATTAATATAACAAAAAGGTTTCGAAAATGCTTAATCATATTTATGATCTTAGAAGCTACATTTCTTGATTGTTGCACGACTATTTTTTATGTATTCGAATAATAATACAGTTTTTTATTTTTGCTTATTATTAATTCTTAATCTTATTGCTATGAATATTGCATCTAATTGTAAGTTCTAAACCTAAAGTATTTCCGACTCAAGGAGAGATTGATAGAGGAAGATTCAAAGTTTATCTTACCAACGATTTAAAACCTTAAATAGTATCAATCGTGATTGTATAATCGTCTAAAACTTTATGCTTCTGTACCAAGCCCGTTGTTATAATTGGGAATTAAGATAATATATTTTAATTATTACACATCTTTTTATGAAGGTGAAATAATTTTAAGAAATATCTATTTTATTCTTTGTGTGTATTAATAAATTGCTAATTAATGTACTTTCTAAAAATAAGATTTTTTAAAAAGATATCTTTCCTGTACAAATATTTGTTATACTCACTGTATGTAAATAGTAAAAACTGAGAAAGAAATATTCGATAGTCAAAACAAACTCATAACTATGTCGGCATTAATAATAGATGAACAAAATGCTCATTTCCTTCTAAATGCTCATTCTCTCCTTTTCTCTGACTGTCCGACCTCATCGTATTTTTTCTCTTTTCGCGAGGAGAGTCTTCCGTCATTTGGCGGACGGCCAGACCCCGAAAACGCGATGCACTCACCGAGGACACGCCGACTAACGGTTTTAGACACGAACACATTGATATACGGCCCTGAGAGTACCAGCATGCAAGTCAAGTTTTACGCACGTGCTTCCCGTCCGGGAATGACGACGTTCTTCGCTTTTAACGTGACTCGAAATCCGTTGTTAGAAATCCATATATACCTTGGCTATCGATATTCGTGAGTTTGATAGGAGAGAAATGATAACGCGAGAAATGGAATCTCACCAACTGGAATCTTTGATAACTTTAATGGAAACGTATAGTATATTAAGAAAAATTGATAGATGGTAAAATAATGTTAGGAACTTCACTCTCTAAATATGAATCAGTAGATAATCCCCAGTGGCATACTTGGCACTGATAATCAGTGAAGTTCAACTAAAAAAGGAAAAATATTTGAGAGCATTATATAACTAAAATACTGATATTTGCATTTAATTTCATCTTTCAATACCACATTCATTGAATTCATGCATTAAATACAAAACAATAACAAAGGGCAAATTAAGAGTCAGTACGTTAAAAATATAGTTTGAAAAATTGGTGAAAGTATAAAAATTAAGTTAGATTACGTCAGAATAAAAATATAACATTTAATTAAATAAGTTAACAATAATAAGATTGAAAGACCGCTAATGTTAAACATAATGCTTTAAATTAAGAAGCGCCATAACGGTCAGAACGTTAAGATGTTGAACTATTGTAAATTCATTTAAATGAATTAATTTCAGAAATGATAATTGCGTGCCGATATGGTTGTCGGACTTTCAACGCAATCAAATCTGAAAATATTAATAAATATTAATAAATAAGTTAAGTATCAAATAAATAAGAAAATTCGACATAACCAGTTTCGGCTACACGATTGAGCCCTCTTCAGATACAATTTACATAGATTCAATATACAATAAGTTACAAAAAAACACATATTAAAAATGTTCGGATATAAAACTCTACGCAGATCACACGCCATTCGTTAACCGTGTCTCTTGAATATCTAAATAAGGTATGAAGTCTTATTATAAAAATATGAACATATAAATTCTAGCAAATAAAACTTACCAAAAATCATGTGTAAATTACTTTAAAATTTCTCGGAGAAAAACGGATGTGTGTGGTATAAGCCACGTAGGCAAAGAGAACATAGCGCTACAATTAGAAATATACTATCTCACACATACGATCGTCGATACAGATCGACACATACTGAGAAAGGAGACGGATTGTCAGTAACAAAGAGTCAAAGTTTATTTATAATAGGTATGTATGCCTTGTGGAGACCTTCCGCGTCAGTTTGTAAATTCAAACTAACGGTCTGCTTTTTAATGTTGAGCATCTCGGAAGTTAGGTGTTTTTTGTAGCAAGGTTCTTCATCCAAAACTCTTACGTTGTCCCATTGAAAGTCATGGTCATACTGTAATCTATGCTCAGTTATGACCAACCGAGTGAATGTATTATATTTGATGTGGTTACGATGCTCCGCAATTCTGGTTTTCAATTACCTGCCCGTCTGGCCCACGTATGATGCATCACAATTGTTGCACGAGATCTTATAAACTACATTTCTTTTTGATGTGGGGAGGCATTTATCCTTTTGAACCTTGATATATTTTCCTATCTTATTAGAACTACGAAATGACACCCTGATGTCGTTATTGTTGAGCCGCTTAAATTTCTCTGTGTGAAGAGGAATAAATGGTACAGTAAGCCACGATGCCGATTCGTTAGTGCAGACATTGTCAAGTAAATCTTCATGTAATACACATTTATTTTTCATTTTAAGATTTTTTATACGTTGATTAATTGTGTTAAAAATGAACGTCAATGGATAATCGTTATCTAGTAAAATGTTAATAATAAATATTTTGTAATAAGACTTTATATTGTAATTAGATTTCCAAGAGACACTGATAACGAATGGCGTGAACGGCGTAGAGTATTACATCCGAACAGTTTTTAATATGCGTTTTTTGCGTAACTTATTGTATATCGAATTCATGTAAAATTATATATGAAGAGGGCTCAATCGTGTAGCCAAAACGTTTTCTGGCAGGTTTCTAAATTTTAATTCACACCATCCACTTTGTCAAAGAGGGGTGTCATTTACAGTTTGGTCAACAAAATTATATGGTTATGTCATCCACGTTTCCAGCAAAACAATTTGATTAAGGCAATAAATATTTTTTTAAATAACGGTTATCCACTAGATTTTATTTTTTCTTCAATTCAAAAAAGAATAAAGTTCCACACTAATAAAAGTGGAACGGTCGAGAAAAAGATCACAGGGAGAAATTTTTCACGTTTCCTTACGTGAGTTCGGTGTCGGAAAAGTTTGCTCCAATTGCTAATAGGCGTCATTGTAAATTGGCCATCGATATCAAATTCATTAAATAATTTTATTAAAAAGGGTAAAGATCAACTAGATCCCTTATGCAATCAAAATGTAGTTTACAAGATCTCTTGTGATGACTGTCAAGCCAGTTACGTGAGTCAGACCAAAAGACAACTAAAGACAAGATTACACGAACATGTCTCCGATATCAATAAGAAGTCAAAATCCCCAACAGTGATCACAAGTCACCGCATTGACTAGAATCACAATTTCGACTGGGACAATGTGGAAATTTTGGAAAGAGAAGCTTCCTTTAATAAGAGATTGATATCGGAGATGGTTCACATAAAACGATAAACGCATGGGCTAAACAAACAAAATGACACAGAATCTCTGCCAGAATCATATCTAAACATTATCCAATCTCTTTCCCCCTCTTAACATTGTCCTTTGTCTCCTTCCTATTATCTTTCCTATTTCTTTGTTTCCTTTTTGTCATAACGTCGCTTGACATCGTTGACTTTAAATGTTACATCCAATTGTATCATGGCTTATTTTTTATTAAATACAACTTTGTTATTTGCGTTTTCCTATCGGCGTCTACTTTACATCATTAAGACAATATAAGGTATATATGTTTTATTTAATTTGCATTTTAATTTAATTTACTATAAATGTACATCGATAATTTAATCTATAACGCAATGTTAATGTATTATTTATTTGTGAGATTGTAGAATTATGAAAAGTGAGATGTGATCTCTTTTGATATTTTTACATATGGACCGCATTTTATGAATACAACCGAACTTTTCACTGGACATTATAATTTGACCGAATTTTCTGATAATTTATGTAAGAGTGTTTGTTGTTTTACATTGAAAATGACCCGATCGGTGTCGAAACGTATATATACAGGGTATTTCAAACCACCCGTACCACTCATTTAAAAGCTAAAGACATGATTATTTTAAATATGTAAAAACGACAGACTCGAATTTTGTAACTGGATACGTCAACAACCGCGAAACTTTCATGAGAAAATTTTATTTTCTGATGAAAGCACATTTGTGAGCGACGGCGCTGTAAATACTTGGAATCGTCGGTATTGGGCACAAGAGAATCCTCTATGGTTACGAGAAATAGATCATCAACACATTTGGAAAGTAAACGTTTGGTGTGGAATTGTTGGAAAACATATTATTGGACCGTTTTTCTTTGAAGGAAATCTAAACGGTATTCGGTACGCAAATTTCTTGGAGAACGACCTACCACCTTTATTAGAAGACATTCCTCTATCATTGCGGCAAAACATGTTTTTTCAACAAGATGGGTGCCCAGCGCATACATCTAGAGTAGCCCGAGAACGACTAAACGACATGTTTCCAGGTAAATGGATAGGCAAGTATGGACCACATAATTGGCCACCACGATCACCGGACCTAACTGTGCTTGATTATTATTTGTGGGGAAGAGTAAAAGACCTGGTATACCGTAACCGCCCTACGACAAGAGATGATATGATTGTTAGAATACGTGACGCTATTCGTTCTCTAGGTGAAGTTGAAATTTATCGTGCTACAAATGATTTCCAAAAAAGAGTAATTAAGTGCACCGAGGCAAATGGTGGACATTTCGA